TAATAACAGTCACTGCAAATGAATCATTTATTAGCATTACAAGAGGTACCGAGGGTTCGGACAAATGGTACATGATCCTGCATGAATTGACTATGGATGACTCGGATTGTGACTTGAAGTCAGAGGCAATGGTACCTTCAAGTACTCAGGAGCTAATTTTATGTTGCAAAAGTGATGCACTTAGGTTAATACAATTTGTTCCTTACGGTCTAATCACTGTACGATTTTGTCAAAGAAACAAAAGATGAAAATGAAAAAATTTTCCTTGTGAAAAGTACGCCCACAGAGAAGCCAATTTGATCCTACGAAAGTGACTTTCTTAGGTCAACAAAACTTGTTGCTTATGGTCTGATCAGTGTGTGCAACCATGATCATGCAATCAATATTTACTGTTCCTTTTGATGGAGAGAAAGCATTCAAGTTGTAATCCTCAAACCGGCTATGATCACAGATTCCCTCATGTTGATTTACCTGAATTTAAAATGATTTTTAAATATCATAAACTGCTAAGATTTAAAATTTTACCCCGTTCATGGGATACTAGACAGCGAAAATTGGAAAGACCAAGTGAGACAAGAATGATTTCCATGTAAACCGTCGAGCATTTCAAGTTTAATTTTTTAAGGTAAAAGTCGAGTCTTTTTTTGCATTATAATAATTGATGAGGATGAAACTTGTGAATGGATGAGAAATGATTAGTGTTAACTGTTCATCACCCATTGTGTTGATTCAAATGGACAATCTCATGGTTGATTAGATGATAATTTTGACGGTCTCTTTTTTGCCTCTTACGATTCTCATCATTTCATGATAGTTTGCTTAAATGATTATTAGCTGAAAATGATGAGGAGGTTTTAAAAGTTTTTTTCTTACTTTAAAAATAAAAAACGAAGCAAGCAAAAACTGATGAAATGATAATTTAAATAAGCTGAAAACCTGCTTGGTCGATCAGTTGACCAACACCGTTTCAACTTTGAAAGAAAGGCCGTTTTACTTTACAAACAAAAAAAACCTCAAGCTGTTGATCCTAATATATGATTACTATTATTATTACTATTAACTTTATTGCTGATTATTATATTATATTGAAGATGATAGTTACTTTTTTAAACCTCCAACAACTTTTTGCTTCCCTCTTCACCAATGAATGAAATTGAATGATTATCGGGCAAGAATTGTGAGTCTATTAAAGGTGTAAAAGGTGAAGATGATTATTGACTTGAATGAAAACTGTTGAGATGAAATAATATCAAAAAATATAATGAAAGCTGAAGACGAAGAAGAAGAAAGATGAAATAAAATAATGATTATCATCATATTTTTAACTGTTGGTTCAATCATTCAAGATCAACCAGATATTATTAAATGAACCCAATCATGATGAGCAAATAAAACAACTACAATCATAATGATTACTTTATCTTCTTCCGTCATCCATTTTAATCCATTTTTAAGCATTCAACTGTCTTATCATCATTTAACTCTTCCTTTCCTGGCTCATCATTTACAAACCCCTTTCCTTGTGATGAACATCAAAATGTTGCTCGGCTGTTGTTTAATCCCAATCAACATCTATTTAACTTGCTTGTTCACTTGTTTGTTTGCTTTATTATTACACCATTCACTTGATTGTTATTAAAATTGATGCAATTTAGCAAAACTTGTCTCACCATTGACCTACAAAAATGGCGATGAGTTTGGGTTCCTTTTGTTTTGGTGGGTTGAAGTTGCATTCAAAGTGTTGAACCTGAAAACTTTTTTTCAATGTAAAATGGTTTAATATTTCAATTGTAAATATGAATATCGTTTGGCTTGACTGTGTTACTGTGTTTATCATTATCATGATGATCAATACTGTTGATTTAATCATTTCAGTTTCATTAAGGAAAGTGAAAAATGAAATCATCGGTAAATTAGTTATCAAATGTTTGTAACATCATTGAAACCTTATTCAATCTTTTGTCAAATGATCATTTTTCTGGTCATTAAAGCATTCATTTGCCTTCCTTTGCCTTCCATTAAATGATCGTTTTCAATTTTACCCAAAATCTCGAGATTAACATTTGATTAACATTTTCCAGCTTCATTGTCAACATTGATTAACCAATTGTAATCTCATATTAATCCCAAATTTTGATGTATTTAAAGCCATTTTTCGGCTCAATTATCTTGTTCAACTGAAATAGAAACTGTTATTGTTAGTTGATTGATTGGTTTTGTTTTTTAACCGTTTTTTGTTTGTTATTGCAAGCACTCAACTCATCAGATTTAACGATTATTTACTCAATTACAATTAGCTCTATTGTTTAACCATTATCTTGATTCGAGTTTATCTTTTTCTTTCCCATTTCGCCTTCAATTTCTTGACCAATTATAATGGTCAGCCATTTGGTTAGTGAAAAAACGGGTGAAAATGGGTAAAAACAGTTCAATGGTTTGCATAATAAAATGAGATAAATTGATAAATATAACATCTCAACATTGGGTTAAACCAGTTTGTCATTATTCAAAGTTGAGAGGTGAGTTGAAAAGAGTTCAAATGACATGAAAGGACAATGAGTTAACATTGAATCAACGGGTTGAATGGTGTACAATATCAATTGTACCAGTAAAGATGTTAAGGTCAATTTCCTGAAGGTTGAAATTGGAGGCAACGTGAGTGACCAACAATTAGTTCATCTCTTATGTTACATGACTTGGCCACTGGTCGGTGGATTGAAGGTTGAAATGTAAAAATTTTTAAATTTCCAATCCCTTCTGTAAATTGTGATTCAGTGAAGGACAAAATTAGATTAAATTTGTAATTCATTTTGTTTCTCTTTTTCACTTGTGCTAATAAATTTTTATTTATATATGTGTGTGAGTGTGTGAGTGAAAAGCAAGTGATAGGTAATGAGATGTTGATCAACCTGAAGGTTGAAATGATGGATGAACATCTCAACGTTAACCAACATACTACATGTGTGTTTGTGTGTCTTTGCGTAAATAGTGTGACCTGGAAAGGGATGAAAATGAAGTTGATAAGGCCTTTAATTGATCACCAAATGAAGACAAGTTAAATAACTTTTTCTCTCTACCAATCAACATCATTGATCTTCATCTTCATCTTTCTCTTTTCCATCTTTTGCTCTCCATCTATCAAAAAGGCAAACCTGTTTACCTCCTTTAATCACCTCTCTTTGAACGGCTCTTTGACCATCAATCCAGGACTAAACAAAAGTCTAGGTTAGCCTCTTTACGTGGCGATCAAATGATGAATATTGTTCACAAAAACCGTTTACATCTAATCATTGACTGTTCAATATCAACATCACTTGTATTGTTTACCAAGTTGGCCCACACAAACATAAGTTATACCTAACACGTTACCATTATTAGGTTGCCAATCAACATTGGAACGAAAAGGTTTTGGCCTTTATTTGTTCACAGTTTCACCTAATTTATACAGGTACAACTTCACGATTCCTTGTTGATTAGTTTTTAATTGTATGGCAAAAACAAAACAAGCAAAACTGGTAAACCTCTTTTCACTCTCGCATTTTTACCCTCTCGACCTGAAAACGGTTTACATAAAACAACAACAAAAAACACCAAAAGAGAAGCAATTTTTATGCATTTAATTACAATTTACTTGGTTTACACTTTTGTAATTTTAATCTGGTTAAATTGCATTTAGGTCAATTTAATAAGCTAATATTACAATCAATTGTAGAAACAAGTATTCATTTCTAGTCTATTGGGCTTTTCATTGGATTTTGAATTTACATTTGAAGCTAAGGTAAACCCAAAATTTTCTGGTTTAACAATTAACTAATAATTCCTAGTTAATTGCTCAGCAATTTCAATTGTAACCGTAAAATTAATGTTGCACATTTGCTGCTTGACTTCAAACCTTTTTAGATAAGCAAGTTTTCTGGTTAATTTTCTGGTTCTTTTTTGGGTTGTTTTTTTCTGATCAATTTGTGAGTTAATATTTGTTTCTTGAAAACATGTTACAATCCTTTTACAGACTTGAATTATAGTCAACAATTGCAATCAAATCAAGGTTAAATACATCTTATTTTTAATACCAACTTATTGTAATGATTAGCTTTAAGATGATGTTGATGAGTCAATTTCGTCTAATTTTTCAGGTCAACAATTTAAACCGTCCATTATTATTAGTATCACATTAAGTATAACAATGCAAATTTAATTTAACATTTTCACATGATAATCATTGGGATGATGATCGTGAAAAATATCATCCTCAATCTGTATTGAAACGATTATATCTTGTAATCCTGATTGTGTACATAATGATTAACTGTAAATTGATAGTCGATGGTTAAAGCTGCTAATTTGTGATTAATATGGAAACCTTAAAATTAATGTAAACTCACGTTAAAGGTGAAAATGAAATTGAAATTGGTGTTACACAGGAAAATTTGATTCTTGATTCACTTGAATCTTGTTTAATTTTTATATTATCTTATCAAGTATTGGATATTGCTTTGTTTTGTAGTCTCTTTAAAGGTTAATTAATGCAAATCTTGATTGTCAGGGTCAACAATTTGATTCACAATCATTGGTTAACATTTAGCTCAATAGCTTTTTATTATCATTTCTTACCTTATCAAGGTTGACCGTTTCAATCTTGATATTTAAATTATATTTTTATATTGAACGCTTGATTAAAGATGGTTTTTTATTTCACTTTAATGCTCATTGCGATTCAAGATTTTAATCAACTGTTAATTAAGCTTCAATCAAACCTTTTATCTGAAAGTATTATGTATTCATCATGAAATACTTTCCTCATTTCTGCTTTTGTTTTGTTTAATCTAAATATTATGTAAATTATCTGGTTAATTTATTCATATTAAATGGTTCCTTTTGAGGTTTTAAAATGCTTTTTTTAGATAAATTGTTTACCAAAATTTGCTTTCAATTATTTTATTGTTAATGGTTAAAGATATTAATTTATGCTTTTAATGCTTTTCTTTACGTAATGTAATTAGGCGATGTTCCCCTGGTTGAAATGTCTCTGGTTTGTCAAGCCAAGTTTACCCCGTTAACTGAAGCTCTTTGTAAATGTATCAATGATTTTAATAATCGTTCAACCCATGTTTTTCTTGGTGATATTGCTGAAGCCATTAAACAATCTTATCCAAATATAATTCCACCAACAGCTGATATGATCAAGAAAACATTACGTTCATTGCAGCGAGCTGGTAAAGTGCGCTTCTCTACTAGTGAGGGTTACTTTCTGGTTAAACCTACTTTAACCTGCGAGTCATCCATTCTTGGTACCAGTCTTGAGCCTTCTTCACCTTGTGATACAATTAAACGGGAATCGGTTAAATTGTATTCATCTTTAATGACTCCAGATGAAGTAATTAGTCGTCTCCATGGGAGTCCAACATCGTCCACTGAAAGTGCCTATTTTGGTTCAAATGGAGGTGTTACTCTTGATACACCAAATTTAATGACACCAACCAGTTTAAATACAACTTTAAATTGGGACTTTGGTTTTAACAATGTTAATGGCGGTACTCTTCTTACTGACCAGAGTAACAGCCATGAGGAAAGTGATTTAATATCTTTACGTCGATCTTCATCACTTCGAGTTTCAACAACAGTCAAAGGAATGAATCGATCACAAGAGAATGACGATTCTGAAAAACCTTTAACCTTATCATCAACGCCAAATGTACCTTTTTCCCGATCCAAATCATTGAGAATGGTTAACAATAAGGAAAAGATTAAATCATTGACAATTGATTCAAGTGAAACTACAATTAAAAGTGAACCCATTACCATTGTTGTTAAAAGTAAGTTACTTATAGTTTGATTTACTCTTAATATAATATTATGTGCCAGTACAATATGTTATGTTGATGCATTTTTATGTCGGTCCAATCCAACAACTTGTATTCATATTCATACAGAATGACCATGCTGAGTTGCAGTTTTATTTTTCAACTTGTTGTTACTTCTTTAACTGTGCACCTTCAATATTTAATGAATACTTGTTATTTTATAACGATTTTAGGTCACTTTTGGCTTCGATTAGGGACTGACAACACTAGTATTGAATTTTGTAGTAGCAGTCTGATTATCTCCTTGTTATCAAATTGTTGATATATCCGGTTTTTTTGGCTTCTGGGGTGTGACTCCACTTTTATATCGACTATTTAGTCTTTTGCTTCAACTTTTAGCCAATTCAACATTATTGTGCCAATTATCCTAATCAATAATTCACCTATTTTCACTAAATGAAAAATCATGATATTCTTGTTCCCAAACAATCGATCTGCTATCATATTTGGCTTGATTTCTGTTTTCATCCAAACCTGACAAAAGATTGTGTTCAAAAGTGTTAAAAGTCATTGATATCTTTATTTTTTCAAGCAATTATGTCGATGATAGATGCAATATTGATTGAATAACAGATTCTTGTATAGCTAATTGGTCAGTTAAATCAGTCTAATTATCAATGCAATTGTACTTTATCATTGTAAAATTGTTCCAATTATCTGATCTTGTTGGTTTATAAATTATAAAATATTTTTATTGGAAAGAAAAGACGGAAACAATTTACAATTTTTATGATTGATGTCTGTTTTAAGAGAGTTCATTATTTTTTGCTGTTCATTTTAATTAACTTTTCCCTTGTTCACCCCTTAGAGCCTTCAATATTTACTAAATTTTTGGCTCGATTGAGTTATAATGGTGGAAATGTAGCTCCAGGAACTAAATTAAAACCAGAAGGGAATCGTAAATTGGTTACCAATGGTATGGATCAAGAGATAAATCGCCCTAGTCAAGAATCAAAATCAACTCAAACAATTTCCAAACCATCCTCTCCTGTTGTATTACATCGCCAAAAGTCTGGAAAAGTGTATAGATTACCCGCTGTTGGTGGATTCAATGGTGGCTTAACCAGGAAATCATCAACCCTTGATAGTCGATTTAAGTGTAAACCTTATGGGAATCTCACTTCATGCATGTACTGCGAATCCTTGCGAACATTATCCAAATCAAAGCGTTTAAATCATGCTCACCAACCAATGGTCAATAATTGTTGTGATTTATGTAGTCTCATTGTTAAATCAAATCCATCAACACCAGCTGTTACTGCCTCCAATGAATATAATTCACGGTCGTTTGGCCTTGCCTCGGTTGGTCCAATTGTTGATCCTAGTTGTGACAAATGCATTTCTTCGTTGACATATTGTTGCTCCAATGCTGATTGTAACATTTCCTCACCTAGACTCTATTCACATTATCCATCTCAACATGAACACAGTTCACCCTATCAACTGCCAAATGATCACTCTAATCATCACGACAGCCTCCACAGACAATGTCTAACTCTGTCCTCTCCAACACCATCAGCATCACCTCCACCCTCACCTTATTCAAGGTTTACTCTTTCCCCAACCTTAAGGCCTAAAACTTATTTCTCACCTAGATTAACATCGTCCTCATTGGGAAATAATGTTTCATCGACTCCTTTATCTTACTCTCCGAGCTCTACTTTACCCTATTCATCTTTAACATCGCCATCAACGTCAACCAAAACTGCTACAACCACAATCAACAACAGCTTTGAAAAATCATTGGCTCCCATCTCCATTCAAACCAATGCCGATACTGCGGAAAGGTTGACTCTCGCTGATGGTTTAATAAACAAAACTATACCTTCTTTGATGACTTCTCAGTCACCCCAGAAAAGCTTGATCACTACAGTTGGTGATTTAACCAATTGTAATAAACTTCAAGAAGATCAATCGCTTGTAATCAAGGAAAATCCAAATGATACATCGCTATCTTTTATAACTTCAGGGTCGACCAGTAACAAGAATGACAGTGAATCTTTTAAAATTAGCAAAGATTTGGCCCAAGATAATTTATGGAATGAAATTGGTGGTCGACAATTAGAGGCAGAGTTGAGGGAAACCGGTATTACCATTGGTAATTCATTTAACCTTAAAATTGAATTTGGTTCACCCATAACAACTAATCAAACCAAGGAGTCAACAAGTAGCACAACTACATCATCCTCAACGACTACCTTATTGTCCAATGGAGTGGCTAAAAGTTTCACTAATTTTGAGGAAAAATCAGCTGAAAACTTGCCACAAAATGGTTTCCCTCCAACCACATCATCGTTTCCAACATCAACTCCATTACCATCACCATTATCAAAATCAACCTCTTGTAACAATCAACTTGTTAGACCTTCTTTATCAAGCCACATGAATGGAAATTCATCGGCCAATGAAACATCTAGCGTCATCAATAGTACATCAACTGTCAATGTACGTACAGTTACTCGAACAGTTGGTTTAAATAATGAAATTGAGTGTATTAACATCTCACCATCATCAAATAATGATCATGAACAATTTACTGCCAACTATAATCATCATGATCCTGGAGTTAAAATTAATCAAGCATTTAATGCATCATCATCATTTGATACAACGCTCAGTGATAACGAAAATGAGAGTAAAGCCGATGAAACAAATAAACCAACAACAATTGCAATAACAACAACAACCAAAGTAACCGGAGCTTTGACCACTTCAACCGCTGATCCACATGAAACCGTTGATTCACTTGGCAGTAATTTAATCAAAAAGTCAACTTCCATTAGTAACATTAGGCAAAAAGTGGCTCAAGCGAAAGCAGCCTTTTTCAATTCTGGTGACACTGGAAAAATTACCTCAGCTTGTTGAGTTTAACCGCAACAGAATTTAAATTTTCAGACTAAAATCATCCTAATGGACGAAGGAAAAAAGATGATCATTGATGCAAAATAATGCACTTCACAACACGACTTTCACTACCAACGAGCTTCATCATCATTATCATCATCATCAACATAGCCAACGCCATCGCCATCACCATTATCATTAAAACATCTGAAGAAGCAGAAAAATGATTATTCTGTGTTGTAAACAGAATGAATCATATTTTTTTCATTTACTTCTTATCTCAACTTTACTTTGCCTACTTTGGTGTGCAAAATGATTTAGACAAATCAAATTAATGTTAACATAAATTGTCTTCATCTAACATTAAATGTTGTCCTGACTGGAAGTTAATTTATCTTGGGGATCAAAAAAATCATCTAGCAAGAGTAAAGAGCGAAAGCATTTCCAGGAGGAAAAAAACATGGAAAAGTTGAATTTACAATAATATACATTATTATTATAATTTATATTATTATACAGCAAATTTTCAACACCGTGACTTTTTTCATTGTAAAATAGCTTTTTTTATCCATCATTATAATAGCTTTTAATGTGTTTTTACATTTTCAAATCATGGAATATCATTTTTGAAACTTTCATTGATTCAATCGTTTCCCTCTCTCTTTCAATCATGATTATTCATCAAACATACGAAAGCAAATTAATATTATATTTTCAGCGTATATTTACAAAAATTTCTTGACAAGAAATCTAATTTTAAATATTCCAATCAATGTAATCAATTATTAACACCTAGACCTTTAACAATCTGAGAGTTTCCACTTCGGCCGTTTGTTGTTTGCCAATTCTGTAAATTTTGATTCAATTTGTAACCATGAGAATTGTAATTGCCTTCAATTGTAAATACCTATTTTATATAAGATATTTTATCTGTAAACAATTAAATTGACCAGTTTTTGGTATAAAAATATTGCATTTACCAATCCGCCTCAAATAACTCAAACTTACAGCCCAAGTCATTCATTTCTGCATCTCTTGATTCTTGATTTATTAATAACAAGTGGAACCCCCGATCATGACTGATCGTAATTTTTTCACTGAAATACAATAAATTCAATCCATATTTAAAGACTCAAATTCTTGATGAAAAACCTCGTCAATGAGAAAAACTAAAAAATAAAATAAAATCTGGTTATACAGCTGGACAGAATGAAATCTTTCTGTACAGTTAAGGTACTACATTTTCACTTAACTCTTTACTCGAAAGACGGTTTTACTTATCCTTCTAAACCAACAATAAACCATCAACCTGAATAACCAAAAAGTTTTTCCCCCAAAGTCAATAGTAAAAGATACGGATTCTGCTTTTTTTCCCCTACCCTGTTTGAACGCTAATTTCTCAGTAACCTGAATTCCGAGAAAGTTCGAACTATTTTTTGCGATTGTAGTTTAATCATGGCTTTCATCCTATGTGAAAATTTTCTTTAGAACCCGTTTAGTTTGGCCACAATCTTCCCGCAAAAATTTCATAGTTTGACTTTATATATTGTATAGATATAGATTGAATTGCAACTGATTTTTAACATGCCTCTTAACTGTTAAAACTGTTGACTGGTTTAATATTTCAAGTGTCAATGTACATTGGGTTAATTGTTTCCAAGTTGATAATTTTTCTCAAACAAAACCGTCAACCAAACGATTTCAATTTACTGGTTGCTTCTTGTGACAAAAGGGCTAAATCACAAGACGATTATCGTCTGATTTTCGGTTAATTCAAAGACAATTTAAATTGAAAAATTTACCCAACAACCAATGACCTTTAAATAGTTTCCCATGTTTGCCTCCATATTAATAAACAATGTAATCAGTAAAATGGAGCGCTATTTCTCGTTTTCTGCTTTACTTGATTAACTCAGAGTTGGTTGAATGATTTGTTCTGACGACTTGAAAAACTCTGTATTACCAGTAGTTAACTAGATTGTAACCACTTGTTTCGTGTAAGATGTTGCTGTTTCTTGACTTATACTTTCAGCTTCTCAACCGTTTTTTTGCCTTCAACTCTCCATGTTTTTCACCCCACATTTTTCACTGTTTCCAGTTGAATGGGAAATTGTGCAAAATGGTTTTAAAGGTTAATTTCAAGGCATTAATACAATTGTACTGTATTTACCTTTAATCAAAAACTCAACATTTATTTCTACCTTTGAGTCTTCACCATGTTTAAAAAAATTGTTCACAATCAACTCAACCATTACGGTTAAAAAGTAAGTACTTAACCAAGACTTACCATTGATCTTTACCCATTTTTACCATTTTTTGCTATTGGATTTTTCTGGTTTTTATTATTATTATTATCGGCATCATTACTTGTATTGTTATTTCATTTCATGATTTACTCATTTCTACCGTAAATTGTTGTTGAAAATGTTGATTTAAAATGGAAAGCTCAATAGATTAACCAGTTGATTGAATGATTGTATGTTTGTCTGCTGTTGTTTTCAATTACTCTTATGAACGGCGTTTAACCTGGTTTAACAGACTATCCATTATCATCACAATTACCATTGCTAGTTCAACGTAAATCAAAATCTTGTGTTGCTGGTTAATAATCTGGTTTAATCAGGTCCATGTCGAGAAGTGTTAATTTAATTCATTTGACAACTACATGGTTTAATTTTAATAATAGTCATTTCGTTTTTCACAAAACAAAACTATCTGGTTGAGTGAAACATGGCATAGATCAAATGACAGAATGCGAATTTTGAATTTCACGTAACTTTCACTTTCAGCTCTTAATTTTTCGTTGATAGGTTGATAGATGAACAGTAATTTTAAAAGCAATCTTCATATTTAATAGTCAACCCGGTGATTTTAATCAACGTCTGGTTACCATTTGTGTTTTAATATGCATTACCATTGTTAACAATTGAAGAGTAAACGGTCCACACATGGTTTACTTATGCTCGATGAATTTAGGTGTAAAGATTAGGCAAGTAATGATACATTTATTAATTGAATGAGATATGAACTTGCTATTAGTAAATCACTCCAAGTACCAATCAATTTTACTATTAATCCATGTTTATTTGGGTTTCTTTACCAGTGAAACGAAACCTTTGCTGGTACACAACCACATTAGCAAATCAAAAACTGGTTCAAAATTTACCATTAAAGGACCGACAACTAACCAGTCTTGGTCTATGAGTGTCTCTAAGCCGAGTATAGATAAGTGTTCAAAGTTGCGAGTTCGAGCAAATATAAAATCACTGAATGAAAATGAACTGAAACAATATATCGATGCTTTAAAAATTTTGTATGCTGATGGGACAATCGATCGTTATGCCATCTTTCATCAGACAAATTACTTGTCATCCCATAATCAGCCAATCATCTTTTGGTGGCATAGATATTTTATTTATGCATTTGAAAATGAATTACAACGGATTAATCCAAATCTAACTATTCCTTATTGGGTAAGTGTTTAAATTTAATCTTTTTTTTAATTCTACCTTGACTATTACAGTGCTAATTACATAACAAGATCTCATTCCAATTATGCATTTTTAGGATACAACTGAAGATTCAAAGGAACCACATAAAAGTGTTGTCTTGTCAGACAAATATTTTGGCGGCAATGGAGAACCACCATTTTATTGTGTTTCAAACAGTTTCCTTTCAACTGTTGATACCAAATTACCTGATGGAAAAAGACGGTGTATTAAACGAATCTTTTATGGTTCTCAATCGGACACATTAAGCCCATGGAATAATACACAATCTGTGTTAAATTTGATCAGAGTCTCAAATGATTCGGAAGCATTCAGGATTGGCTTGGAAGATTCAATTCATTTAGATGTACATCGAGGTTTGGGTAGTGATGAACCCAGAGGGGACATGAATTCACCCATTGCTCCAATCGAGTAAGTGTAAATCCAATAATCACCTGTTGATCATCAAGTGGTAACAAGGTTTTGTAACTCAAGGCAGATTTATAAATCAACAGGAGTAAACTGACTAACAAGTGAAAACAAGTTTGAAATCAAGCTAAATTAATGTTTACATACTCATACTATTATTCATTATTGGGTGCAATATGTTAACCATAAAAGTTTTAGGCTTGGTTTTCATTTGAATCCAAATTTGACAGATTTGAAAGGTTTTTTTATATCAAAATTTTAACGACTTTGAATTGTAACCTTAATTCTAACTCTGATTATTTTTATTATCCAATCCAGCCCAATATTTTATCTTCATCACTCCAATCTGGATCGTTGGTTATACACCTGGCAGCTGTCTAAACCAGAAAGGTTTGAAATGATTAATGGTCAACAGCGCCTTCTAGATAATTCACTGGCTCCACTGACCAATGATTATATTCTCGATGGTTATGCTAACGTTTCCATTGGTACCATTTTAAGGATTGAAGAGGACCCACTGTGCTATACGTATGATTACCTACCGCTGGATAGATTGCAACTCGATCAGGACCAGAATCAATGAAAGATGAATCCAAACTGAACAAATCTTTACATTTCTGCCTTTCTTGTTACAACCATCCTAATGAATGTTAATGATGATAATGATGATAATGAAGATTATTATTATCATCAATATTTCATTAATTCTAATCGTTTATTTTAAATGATCTCTTGTTTTGAATCTTTATTTCTCCAATACTTATATTACATGAAAGATGATAATCTAATATTTACCGTGTGTTTAATAGATTTAGTAATTGTAGTAATCGTTAAATTACTTTCTATCATTAATCAAAAATATGTTTTCCATTATAACATCTTCTATTAATAATTAGTGATTAACCAACGTAATTCAGTGATTCAAAATCAATCAATATATTCACTTAACCTGTAATTTAAATTGGATTACAAATCATTGAAATACAGTTAAAGGTTTGAGGTTGTGAAAAATACTATCTCTCTACGGTAATTGCAGTTAATTATCCGTTTTCTCGTGAAACATTCATTTTTCAAATTTAAATGACACAATTTAAATCAATTGTCAATTTACCAAATGTTGATATTAAAATGTTCATCCAAATAATCATCATCATTATCAACCTTTACAACATGAATTTAAAGACAAAAATGAAAGCCAGCAACATTAATCGTTATCAAATTAACCTCATCATTTTGTAAAAGCAATTTATATTAACCTTTACCTTTTAACTGGTTCACTTTCATTGTAACACATGAAAAGGCAAACAAATGAGCGTTTCAATCAACTAATCATCGCCAGTCAAGTCTAAAATAAATGAAAGAAAAAATGAGTTTCAAACCCTGAAAACCATTGAAATAAGTTGAATAACCCAATGTTTATCTTTTGCCATTTTTCTGTTTTCAGGCTTTGGTCCAAAATTTTATTCCGTTAAACCCAATTGTATGTTGATTTGACCAGTAATTTGATAAATAATTGTTTACATTTTATGTAAATTTGCTCAAGGAAGTGAACACAATCAGCTGATGATGAGATTTTAAGGGCAACCACAATCATAAGTATCTTTAAGGTCAGTTTATTATATGGTTGGACATTTAATTTTGATTGGGAACAAAAAGATTAAAAGCAAGTTCAATTATTATTGCAAGATTTTGGATGAAAATAAAACATTTGTAAACTTGAACTTGATTTTGTGAATCTTCATGATAAGTAAATTCTGTGAGCAAATTTTCTCTCAAAATTATTACCTTTATTGTTCAGGTTACATTTCATTGTATACAATCATCTAATTGTTGTAATAGTTAAAAATTCAAAGGAAACTCTCATAATCTGTAAAATAATTCAAGGTACAATGTAAAGGCGAGTTTAAATTGGCGACTAAAATCAAGTGATCACCAGAAGACTGTAATTTCTTCCGCATCCTCAACAACCTTTCATTCATTTAAATTGGATAATCAAATGATAATTTCACAGCCATTTAAACGGACTACAAATTTAAAGCTAATCTGGTTAGTACGGCCTAAAATTGAACCGGTAAAATGGCTAACTTTTTCTGGTATTCAGAGTGAAGAGTAAACCCATTTTTTGAATGTGTGTGTGTGTTTCAAATCAAAGTCTAAATATTGCCAATTGATTATGAGCTAATGATTGATTAAGCTTATCAATCAACTCATCTTTTTGTTTAAAACTATTAATAAACAAAGATGATTATTGTAATTGAAGGATAATCGTGATTAAATAGAAATGCTGTAATTAATAGATGCCATGTTTTCTGGTTCTTTTCTGGTTCTTTCTGGTTAACTGGTGAAAAGGTTATCCTTAAAAGTATTCAATTCATTTCAAGCAACAGTCAAGATTACCTTTTTTTATTTTTGGTTGTTTCACCAATTTGGCCTCAAAATTGTTTAATAGCAAATTGTTTTCAGTTTGATTAAATATTATTACAATTGGTTTAAGCATTTGTTGTTAAACATGAATGAGAATCAATTTTTTTCTGACAAAATCACGAAGCTGTCCATAAAGGTTCACCTGACTGACCTTGCCTTAATTGTGATAAACTCGAGATTTACTCATCAACACTCAATCTGATTAAGCTCATCAGAGTTGTTGATCGTGTATTAAAAAAGGCAATTTACCAATTATACAGAAAAATTGTTCAGAAAAAAGTAAACAATTAATAATCAAAGGATGTTCAAAATTCAAGTGATTGTATCAGGAATAAGGCAAGAGATGAAAACAATTTATGGTCATCTATTGATCACGATTATCATTATTAACTTATTGCAATGTTTAATCTTATTGTTGAATTTTGATTAACAATTGTATTAGCTGATTGTCGAGTAAAAACAATAACAACTCAAAGGATTGATTTTGTTTTTGCGATCTGCCAAAGTATTGTAAATATTATCAATCGTTTAATCAACTGAACTTTCTGTAGGCCAGTAACAATTGTTGTTTTACCGATTAGTGATGGTTAAAGGTAAAGATTAATAAATGAGGTTGATTAAGATTTGATTGTAGCTTAGGTTTATTAACTATCACTATAAATGTCATTTGTAAAGTGAAAATCTTGATCGATTTGTCTCAACATGCATTTAAATGTCAACTTTTGCCAATCAACCCACAAGGGTCTGAAACACGAAGGTAAAGTCAAATTTTCCGTTTAATAAATTCATAACATAACGAATACTCGTTCAAATTTCAAGTACATCTAAACCTTTATTTGTGGTTATCATACACAATATTTTATTGAGATTGTCGAGCTAAGATATTCATTTATTTACATTTTATTATAAATTCATTAGACCTTCTTAGAAGGTACATCAAGACTAAAAATACGGGTTTCTTGTTCATTATTAGCCATGGATCAAGTTCATACAGAAATTTTCTGGTTATCTTATTTCAATGATACAACAATCATAAAAATAGTGAGAGCTCAAAATAATTGAAAAGACTCAAGGCATTCAAAAAATTTCAGATAATTGCAATCAAAATGAATGAAACAGAATATCTTGAGTGCAAATCTGTTTGAAAATCCTTCTTTTACTCGCCATTGCTTTGCTATCGATACTAACTTTATTTAATGTAAATATGGCATTGGTGAAGGAGTAGAGCAGTGAATAATCTGACTTATAGATTTCATGATTTGGTGAATATCTTCAGTAGTCCATGTGGTTTTGTAAGTTTGGGTTAACTAGGATTAACCCAATCATTGGACTTAAATCACTACTCTTCTCGTTTCTTATTCTTGGTGTTGCTATTGTGAATTGGGATTGTTGGTTAAGACTCGTGTTAATTTGAATTGGCTTTTACGCACATTTTGATTAATAAAACAAAGATTGTTATTATTTGTTATTTGGTTGATTTGTTGCTGGATAATTGGGTGATTATACAATGAATTCATAATAATGGAAAGTAATAGCAAAAGATTGATTAAGATAATGGATAAACATTAACAGGTTTATAATGAAAATGATGAAAAATGAAAACAAAATACAACATTCATTGTTTTTGGGTTGAAATGAAAATTAATTGTTTCTATTTTCTAATTTGTGTTGATTAGTTGATGAATAATTTATCACTAAAAGCAAACTTTTAAACAATAAAATTGTTAATTGTGATTTTGCTTCCATTTTTGGTCACTTGGTAGTTAATTAAACAGTGGAAGATCACGACCAGAAGTTTAGCTTAATCCTTCGAAAGCTTTTTTGATTACTTTCAAAAAATTCAAAAGTTAGTGATCATGAAAATTAAATCATGAATGATCCAATTTAAGTTAAACAAGAGCTGCCCTCTATGATCCATTGCAGCTCAATGAAATCAAAAACATCTCAAATTTTTTGAAAATTCACAAAATATGAGATCATTTTGAGGGATTACAACAACACCTCCCCTTAAGGAAACACATTTTTCTAACAAGTCTAACAATTCTTAGGTCGCAATGTATCGTACAGATCTAACACATTATGTCGATAACATGGGTTGTCTAACGTTATGTAATGCAATAAGTATCTTAAATCAAATTCAAAACGGTGAAAATTAACACTCGATTGCGGTTGATAGTATCTGTCCATCAAAAATTTCAAAAATAAAAAACAGTGAGTTGGTCAAACAATCAGCGATCAACGAACCAAAGGATAAAGTCATTGAAAACGAAAACGAGGACTCGAGATCAGCATTTTGTTGATTTTGTTTCAAATTGTAACATCAAAGGATTTTCTATCAATCAGAGGTTAATCACAGCTAAAGCTATACTCTTAGCTTATAAAAATCGAAAATCGCCCACCGCTAGTGTGAGTTTGAAAGCAAATAGGGAATGATTCAGTTGTATAAAAAAAGGTTGTATATTTCGATGCGAATGCATAATCGCCTACATTCTGAAATTCGTTACGGTTAAAAATACGAAACTTCGTCTTGATCCTCGATCTTTTCGATGCCAGTTTTGCAGTCATCGATGAGAATGAAACAAAATCTGGTAGTGCTCTCACTGTAACGAGATGGTTCGTTTTGAAAAAGCACCGGATTCTATTGCTCCTGAACACCATCGTAGTTTTCAAGCAGTTGCACATCTCTAGGCGCAAACATTCAGCATTGGTGCGATTTTGAGCGGCAGCAAGCTAGACTACACAATACTTCAGCTGGAACGAACCTTTTGCAAAAATACAATGCATTTAATTCCGACTGAGGTAGAAATTTCGTAACTTTATCATAGGTCAATCACGAACAAGTCCATTGCTATTAGGCTGTCCGGGTCAATATGACCCACTTTTGATAGACCATAGAGTACGCTATGTTCGTTCTCTCTACTGATGCGTGGTAGTAAAATACTAGTTGGATCCCTGACTTCTTAAAGATATCACTTTTTGTTAGTTTTTCAAATGAGGCCCGCAAGTTCTTTACGATACGTTTTCAGACACTGAAATGTGAGTTTTTATTAAAATTGGTGTGATGCAAGACATAGTAGTAATCTTATTTACAGTAAGCAGCTAGGTAAAAATATCTTAATGCCAATAACAATAATCAAACGCATTTTGTCTGGACATATAGGGAAAGGCAAAATCGTTCAACATTTTGACTTTGACCGTTGATTATCCCGTCAAAGAAATAAGCGCCTGTGTGTCCGGCTCCACAAATTCCGATTCAAATGGTGACGTATTCAGGATTCAGTGGTTTAGTCTCAGCCATATA